GACACACACACACACACACACACACACACACACACACACACTCACACACACCCCATGGGATGAGTTTTAAGCTGCCAGGTCCAGGACTCAAACCATGGTTGACTACATGGGAGTCCAGTGATGTAACCATTATGCCATCTGTTGGTCCTGAATAGATAAGATTTTTGGTTTTTAAGAGAGATTGTTATAGGGCATGTGCACTCGCCAGAGAGACAGAAACTGAGAAATCACCATCCCAGAGGAGGTGACCATGCTGCAATCTCTTCTCCATTCTGCTCCATTCTCCTCTTGGTATTTTGGGTGCACATGCACATGTGCCCGGCATGAGTTTTTTTTAGGCTACCAATTCTAGGACTTGAACCATGGTTGACCATGTGGGAGTCCAGCCACATAACCATTATGCCATTTGCTGGTCCCCAATATGTAAGAATTCTTAAGAACCTTCTGGTTGTCTTTTACTTTTTATGCTATTTTTGGCATTCTAAATAGTGATATTTTGGCGTTTTCCTTTTTTATTATATTGAGAAAAAAAATGCCTCTATGCTTAAGTATGGTAAACAGTCTTCTTTTTTTTCTTTGGAAAAAATAGGGTTTATTTATTTTAAAACTGCAAGTAGTTTAATAAAATTATTAGTATTTTGCTATAGGGTGCATGTACTTGCTAGAGAGAGAGAGGAAAAGTGAGAATGCATCCTCCAGGCGAGATAACCATATTATAATCCCTTCTCCATTCTCCTTTTGGAAGAATATGTATGCACATATGCCCAATGTGTTTTTCAAGCCTCTAAGTCTGGGCCTCAGACCATGCAGTTGACCAAATGGGATCCTGCTGCCTTAACCATCGTGCCACTGGATGACCCAAGAAGCTTTTTTTTTTTTTTTGAGAGGTTTTCTTGCTATAGGGTATGTGCGCTCGACAGACAGACAGAAGGCGAGAAATCACCCCCTTGGGGGGATGTCCACGCCACAATCCTTTCTCCACCATTCTCCTCTTGGGATCTTGGGCACACATGCACATGCGCCCACCGTGAGTTTTAAGCCACAGGGTCTGGGACGCGAACTGTGGTCGACTGCATGGGAGTCCAGCGACATAGCCATTACGCTAACTGCTGGTCCCAAAGCTTTTTTTTTTTTTTAAATCTTTTAAATAAACTAGAGACAGTGACTATCAAGAAGAATAATAATTACATTCATCATAATGTATATTTGTGTGTCAGTTCTGTTTTTATTAACTTTGGAAAATTCCAAACTTGGAATCCAGAACCTCAAATCTGTGAGTAGAATGTCTTGCTGGGCACATGAAAGTCAAAGGATTTCTCCCCCCCCCCCTTAAGAGCTATACAGGGGCCAGCAAATTGCATGATGGGTAAGGTGCTAGACTCCCACATGGCTGACTACAGTCTGCGTCCTGGACCTGACTGCTTGCTTTCTCTCTAAGTTCTTTAAAAATAAATAAGAGCTATACGTAAAAAGTTATTTTCCTTCTGTATGTCTCAGAACTTTTAAATACATTTTTAGTCCTTGTTTTGAAAGGACTAAAGAGAAGGAAACTCAATTTGCAGTCTAACACTGGGGAGACATTTCTTTTTTTTCCGAGAGGTTTTTTGCTATAGGGCATGTTTGCTCACCAGAAAGACAGAGACAGAAAGGGAGAAATCACTCTTGGGATCTTGGACCACAACACAATCCCTTGTCCTCCATTCTCCTCTTGGGATCTTGGGTACGCACGCACATGTGCCCGATGTGAGTTTTTAAGCCTCCCGGTCCGGGACTTGAACCGTGGTTGACTACATGGGAGTCCAGCGACATAGCCATTACACCAACTGCTGGTCCCAAGAGAGGCATTTCTATAATAAAATAAATCAGCAGTGTTTTGCATTTTTAAAAACTAATTTTGCTGGGACCGGCAGATAGCATAAAGATTATGTCGCTGGACTCTCTCGTAGTCTACTGTGGTTCGAGTCCTGGACCTGGCAGCCTAAAACTCAAGCTGGGCCACAATCCCTTCTTTGTTCTCTCTAGATCTTGGGCACGCATGCGCACGTGCCCAGCGTGAGTTTTAGGTTGCCAGGTCCGGGAGTCAAATCACTTGGGAGTTTAGCCACTTAGTAGATGGTGTCCCTAATTTTGCATTTTAAAAAAATAAGAATCAGCAGGTGGTTTAATGGTTATATCACTCGACTTCCAAGTAGTTGACTGTAGTTCCATTCCCAGACCTACAACTTAAAACTCAGGCTGTGTGCTTGTGTGTCCAAAAGCCTGAGAGGAGAATAGAGAAGAGATTGTAGTGTGGCCATCTCCCCAGGGAGATTTATGTCTCTCTGGTGAGCACATGTATACCCTATAGCAAAAACCTCTCTTAAAAAGGAATAACTAAGTAAGTGTAAAATTACAAAAGTCATTGAGGAATGATACTAAAACTGGAAAAAAGGAAAGGACATCACAAAATTTTAAGATTAACATGAAGATCATTATTTAACATTATATTCTGTGGATTTATCATAGGAAAATACGAACAAAATTAAGAAAAAATATAGTTTAGCAATAAGTATGTTTTGATATGTTATGTAAGCTTTTTCATATTGATATGCAGTAACATGCATAATTTTTGCTCTTTAATTTCTGAAAGTTATATGAATTTTAAAACCCAGGGGAAAAGGCATGGAAAGAATGCCTCTACACTTAAGTTCAGTATATAGTCACTTACTTTTAAAGTTACTATTATTTATTTATTTAATTTTGTTTGTCATTCTTAACTATTTTTAAATTTGACCAGAGAGAGAAAGGAAAAGTGAGAGTAAGTTACCAGATCCAGGATTTGAACCGTGGTTGGCCATGGTGGGAGTCCAGCACCTTAACACCATGCCATGTGCTGGCCCCAATAGTCACTTTTTAACTTTAAAAATTAAGTGATTAGCCAGCTTATTCTAGTTTTTTTCTTTCTTTTGTTTTTGTGTTTTTTAATTAGTTTAGTTTAGTTTGCTATAGGGCATGTGTGCTTCCTAGAGAGAGAGAAAGTGAGAGAGAGAGAAAGTGAGAAATCACCCCTAAGGGAGGATGACCATGCAGTGGTCTCTTCTCCATTCTCCTCTCTGAAATCTGGGTACACATGCACATGTGCTCAGCATGGTTTTCATGGTGCCAAGTTTGGGATTCAAACCATCAGCTATGTGGAATCTAGCTGCCTTGACCTCTATGCCACCTGCTGGCCCCATCTCTTAAAGTTAATTTTTCTTTCCTTTTTAATTTGCCAGAAGGCATGTGTGCTTCCTGAACAGAGATAGGGAAGGGAGCAGTTGAGAAAACACCAATAGGAGATCACATTGCATTCCCTTCTCCATCTCTTCCTCCTTTGTGGATTTTGGGCATGCATGCATAAGTGGCTGGCGTGTTTTTTCAAGCCACTGGGTCCGGGACCCGAACCACATGGTTGGTTCCCCATGTGGAATCTGACTGCTAGTTGGCCCTTAAATTTTATTTTTCTATTTCTTCCCTGAACCAGAGATGAGACATGGCACCCCTGACAAGTTCTGATACTGCCATTCAGTTCCTCAAATAGCCACTGATCACAGGCACATTTGTGCCTGGTATGCTCAGAGAGGTCTGCAGACTTGAACCAGGAACTTTCCCATGTGGGATTGCCTCACAGAGTGTCATGGTCTACCTTTGCACTACCATCTGGCTCACCTAGCTCTATTATTTTTTTTACATTTTTGTCAGAGGGTGACACATTTGCCAGAAAGACATGGAGAGTGAAAGTACCCCCAATGGGGGATGGTCACACCAATGTCCCCCTCACTTCCCATTTCTTCTTCCTTTTGGGATTTTGGGCATGTATGAACACATGCCCACTGTGCCTCTCAATCAACTGGCTACAAGACTCATACTGGCCTAGTTGTGGGATCTGCATGTGAAATCTTGCTGCCTTAACCATAGCTGGATGGAGGAGAAGGGATTGTAGTATGACCATTTCCCCAACCCTTGGTCTGTCTTTCCCCACCAAGCACTTTTGTCTTTTGACAAATTAAAATAACAACAATGAAAACTAGAACTTGGAGTTAGTTTTAAACAGTGTTCTGAAATATATTGTAATTATCTCACAGTATTATTTTGGAGACTTCAATTTGCCACGGGACAAGTTTTTAAAGGAACAGATAAAGCTGGATGAAGGCTGGGTACCTTTGGAGATAATGATAAAATTCAACAGGTAAAAATCTTTTAAAATATCTTTGGATTTTCTGTTAATAATGAGTGCTGCTATTGAGTCTTACAATGTTGTGTATGCCTCAGGTTAAACCGTCTAACGACAGACTTTAATGTAATAGTGGAAGCATTGAGCAAATCCAAGGCAGAACTCATGGAAATCAGTGAAGATAAAACTAAAATCAGGAGGTCTCCAAGCAAACCCCTCCCTGAAGTGACTGATGAGTATAAAAATGATGTTAAAAACAGATCTGTTTATATTGTAAGTATCCCTTTATTGCATTTAATGACTCACATTTATTTAAAAAGAAAGTTCAGTAGAGTAGATAAGAGCAATGGCTCAGAAATCACAGTTTCACCACTTAGGATGAGTCCTGACAATGTTCTTAAATCTCCCTAAGATTTATCTTCATAAATGTGGATTTTTTTCTTATCTTATAGAACTGTTGTGAGAATTAAATGAAAAAAACCATATACCTTTGGATAAGATCTGTGGAATATTGTAAGCACCCAGCACCTATCAGCAATTCTTATTTTTCAGTAGCTAAAACTGTTAGCAGTTTTCTTTAGCATATTGATTTTTAAAAAATACTTTATTAAATAAAGAAAGTTTATTCATTCATTTATTTTAATTTGACCAGAGAAGGAAGGGGGAGTGAGAAAGTAAGGTTCCAGGTTTGGGACTCGAACCGCAGTCAGTCATGTGGGAGTGTCCAGTGCCTTAACCACCACGCTACCTGCTGGTCCCAGCATACTGATTTTAAATGTTTTTTTGGTTATGGAGAATTTCAGGCATACAGAAATAAATTGAATTGTATAATGTACCATCTCCTAACTTCAGCAGTGAACACATGAATAATCTTTTGTTTTCTTTTGCTCATGATAGTGTGTGTGCGTGTACCTGAGAATGAGAGACAGACACGAGCACCCTTCACAGTATGTGGTCATAGTGCGATCCCCTTCTTCTAGCCTGTCAAAATTTAGGCATGTGCCTGGTGTGTTTCAGTTGGACCAGGTTGGGGATTCAAGCTATGGTTGCCATGTGACCCCTGGCTTTTCTTTTCTTTTTTTTTTTAAGTCAGGCTTTTTCCGACTTTTCCACTGACCACAGAACTGGCCCACGTAAATCTTGTCCTATCTCTACCCCATTGCATTATTTTGAAGCAAATCTCAGATGAGTCACTTTTTTAGCACTGGAAAATAATGTGTTTTTTTTTTAAAGTTTTTGTTAAAGGGCTTGTGTGCTAGGAAGTGGTGGGGGGGCACACATGAGACATCAACCTTAAGGGGGAATGGCCATGCTGAAATCCCTTGTCCAGTCTCCTCTCAAGGTTTTAGGCACACACAAAGGCAACCTGCGTGATTTTCAAGCCTCCACATCCGGACTCAAACTGCTCGACCAGCCACGAGGGATCCAGAGCCTTAACCTCCGTACTACCTGCTGGCCCAGAATAATGGCTTTTAACCAAGACTGCCGAAAGGGATTAGACAGGGAGGGAGAAGAGATTGATACGTATATTCTGGCTTCATTTCAAGACAAAATAAATGGTTCTGGTAAATTATTTACTTGAAAAATCACTGTATTTTCCCCTACTCTTACAGAAAGGCTTCCCAACTGATGCAACCCTTGATGATATAAAGGAATGGTTAGAAGGTAAAGGTGAAATACTAAATATTCAGATGAGAAGAACATTGCAGAAAGCATTTAAGGTATGATTGTGTTACACTGACTTTTCTTCTTTTTGGCTAGAAGTCATGTGAATATGCCAGAGAGAGGGGGTATGTTGTATCCCCTGGGGAATAGTTGCGCCTCAATTCCTTCTCCATCTCTTTTTCCTGTCTGGATTTTGGGAACCCTTGCACTTATACATGACTTGGGTGTTTCTTTTTCTTTTCTTTTCTTTTTTTTAAAAAATTTGTGGAGAGGTTTTTGCTATAGGGTATGTGAGCTCGCCAGCCAGCCAGAAAGCGATGCATCACACACACTACCCCCACCCCCCGGGGAGGAATGACCATACTGCAGTCCCTTCCCCTGTTGGGATCTTGGGCATGCATGCACATGCCCCTGGCGTGAGTTTAAGCCACTGGGTCCAGGACTCAAACCATGGTCAACTAGGTGGGAGTCCAGCGACATAGCCATTACGCTAACTGCTGGTCCCCCAACTTGGGTGTTTCTTAAGCTGCTAAGTCTGGGGCTTGAAACAAAAGGTTGACTTGTTGGCTCCATCTGCCCTAAGCACCTAGCCTTGGAGCCAGCCCAATGTAGACTTTTTCCAATTGTGAAAACACATAGAACATTACTTTTAACCTATTACTTTTAACCATTTCCTTTTTATAGGGATCAATATTTGCTGTGTTTGAAAACATTGCATCTGCAAAGAAGTTTGTAGAGACTCCTGGTCAGAAGTACAAAGGCACAGAGATGTTAATACTTTTCAAGTAAGTCTTTCTGTTGATATTTCTTCTGGTAATTTAGTTATGTGGAATTGACACACTAGGGTAATGAGCATGGAGTAGCATGCCCTGTTTTAGTATCCTTAGGATCCTTAGGCATCCTTTCAGATATGCTAGTTCTTTGCCTAGTCTAAGATACTTACTTTATATATGAAACTTAACAGGCTAGATGCTAAAATTTAGGCTTTTTGTGTGGTTGAAAAATAAATCACTATACCGTCCTGCCCCCTCCCGCACCCCCCCCCATGGGGGGGCAGGTGCTTGCTATAGGGGGCATGCGCTCGCTGGAAAGACAGAGATAGAAAGTGAGAAATCATCCCTCAAGGGGGCATGGCTATACCGCAATTCCTTCTCCATTCTCTTGGGATCTTGGGCACACACGCACATGCGCCCGGCGTGAGTTTAAGCCACCAGGTCCGGGACTCGAACCGCGGTTGACTACATAGGAGTCCAGCGACATAGCCATTATGCTAACTGCTGGTCCCACTCTATACCGTTTTCATCTGTGCTTCTTTTTCTTTCTTTTTTGGAGAGTTTATTAATATTATTTTATTGAAGTTGACCAGAGATTGAGAAGGAAAGTGAGAAAGCAAGCTACCAGGTCTGGGACTTGAACCATGATCAGCCATGTGGGAGTCCAGCTGTCTTAATCACGATGCCACCTGCTGGCCCCAAGAGAATTTTGCCATGTGGCATATGCACTTGTTGAAGAGACAGAGAGATACAGAATGCAAGAAATCACCCTCCCAGGGAATATGGCCACACCACAATCTCTTGTCTTCTGTTCCCTTGAGATTTTGGGCACTCATACAGACCCAGTGTGAGTTTCAAGCCTCTGGGCTGAGGACTCAAACCGCAGTTAACCCCATGGGAGTCCAGCACCTTAACCACCATACCACCTGCTGGTTTGTCCCTTTTTTTTTAAAGAAAAATTTTTGTTATAGGGTGTGTGTGCTCTCCAGAGAGAGAGACAAAAAGTGAATGGGACCAGCGAGGGTCTGGCATGTGGCATGACGGTTAAGGTGCTGGATACTTTCACATGACCACCATGATTTGAGTCCTGGACCTGCTGACTTGCTTTCTCAACTGCCCTCTCTCTCTGTGTGTCTTTATAAGGTCAAATTTAAATGAGTGAATGAATAAATAAAACAAATAATTCTTAAGAGAAAAAGTGAGAAATCATCCCTGGGTGGAGTGGGGATGGCCATACTGCAATCCTTTCTCCTCCATTTTCCTCTCAGGATTTTGGGTATACATACATACACTCCCTATGTGAGTTTCAAGCCTCTGGGCCTGGTACTTGAACTGGTGTTGACCATGTGGGAATCCAGCACCTTAACCACTATGCAACCTGCTGGCCCCTGTATTTATTTTTTATAATGTATATATGTCTGTATTTTTATAGTGTATAATGCATTTTTATGTGTGGGTATAAAAATGAATACCAACTAGAGCATTTTTGTTATTAATTCACCCATAGCTCCCTACTTTTGCATTTGTACAATCTTCTAAATGCTGTGTACTGAACACGACTGAGAGGTGCACTGTGATGAGTCATGCTATCAGTATTAAATTCTCTTAAGTGCAACTATTCTTGGGTCTTCAAGAATTTCAGATTTCTCACCCTTTGTAAAATTAATATAGAAAATTCTGAAACAAAATAAACATCAGATTAACATGAGACTACTAATGGATTCAGGCTTTCTTTTTGGAATAGCAATGGCTGTACAACTCTGACTATGCTTTAAAAATTCAGTAAACATGCCCTGGGCTACTACATAGAAAAACATGTAACTTCCTGGTGTATTTTGAATTTTTAGGTCATCATATTGATAGAAAATGTGTAACATTGCTTATATATCCCTTAGGGAAGATTACTTTGCAAAAAAAAATGCAGAAAGAAGACAGCATAAAGTAGAAGCAAAATTAAGAGCTAAACGGTAAGTATATTGAACTAATTGTGACATTTTGATTTCCTTAAAGCTTTGAAAAGGGTAGAGTTAGTGATTCTGGGAAGAGCTGATGAGCTCTGAAATGAGTAGTAAGTAGGCTTCTTTCTTGCTAGTGAAACATTGCAATCTTAAACTGCTTTAATAATCTGGGGGCCACATTGTGTTTTAGTGTAGCACTAGAGGATTAGACAACCTAAAGACTTGAGTTTGGTTATTAAGTAGTTTAGTGAACATGATCAAGATTAACTTTATTAGGATTTTTATTTTTTTATTTTTATTTTTTTTATTTTTTTTTTTTTAGACAGGGTCACACTATGTCACGATCCTCCTACCTCAGCCTCCCGAATCGCTGGGACAACAGGCGCGCGCCACCACGCCCGGCACTTTCAGACAGGGCCTCGCTATATTCCCCACGTGCCCCACGCTGGCCGCGAACTCGCAATCCTCCTGCCTCAGCTTACCGAGCAGCCGCGACTACTTCCTGGTGTATTTTGAATTTTTAGGTCATCATATTGATAGAAAATGTGTAACATTGCTTATATATCCCTTAGGGAAGATTACTTTGCAAAAAAAAATGCAGAAAGAAGACAGCATAAAGTAGAAGCAAAATTAAGAGCTAAACGGTAAGTATATTGAACTAATTGTGACATTTTGATTTCCTTAAAGCTTTGAAAAGGGTAGAGTTAGTGATTCTGGGAAGAGCTGATGAGCTCTGAAATGAGTAGTAAGTAGGCTTCTTTCTTGCTAGTGAAACATTGCAATCTTAAACTGCTTTAATAATCTGGGGGCCACATTGTGTTTTAGTGTAGCACTAGAGGATTAGACAACCTAAAGACTTGAGTTTGGTTATTAAGTAGTTTAGTGAACATGATCAAGATTAACTTTATTAGGATTTTTATTTTTTTATTTTTATTTTTTTTATTTTTTTTTTTTTAGACAGGGTCACACTATGTCACGATCCTCCTACCTCAGCCTCCCGAATCGCTGGGACAACAGGCGCGCGCCACCACGCCCGGCACTTTCAGACAGGGCCTCGCTATATTCCCCACGTGCCCCACGCTGGCCGCGAACTCGCAATCCTCCTGCCTCAGCTTACCGAGGCCTACAGGCTCGCGCCACCACCAACACCACCAACAACGCCAACGCGCCCGACTTTCAGGGTGGGCCAGGAATTGAGCCCGGGCCTCCCATGTTGCCTCAGCCTGCCAAGTAGCTGTGTCTACCAGAGCACGCTACTGCAGCTGGCCCAATTTTATTAGGATTTAATTTTCTTATTATGATAAATGAAAACACATTCTAATTACATCATTTTTATTTTTTTTATTTTTTATTATTATTTTTTTTAGACAGGGTCTCACTATGTCGCGATCCTCCCACCTCAGCCTTCAGAGTCGCTGGGACAACAGGCGCACACCACCACGCCAGCACCACCACCACCGCCACCATCACCACCACCACCACCACCACTGCCACCGCCACCGCTCCCGGCTTTCAGGGTGGGCCAGGAATAAATCCCGGGGTTGCCCTGTGGCCTTAGCCTGCCAAGTAGCAGCGTTTACCCAGCGTGTGCTACCATGGCTAGGCTAACTTTATTAGGGATTAATTTTTTATGTAAAATGGAATGTGTTATAATTAGAACATTTTTATTTGTAGAGAGCAAGAAGAAAAACAGAAGTTAGCAGAAGATGCTGAAATGGTAAGTATATATTCTTGTTGTATAATACATCTATAATTCAAAGTTATAACTAAAAAATCTGGGATTTTGCTAGAGTACATGCACTTGCCAGAGGGAAAGGGAGAAAGCACCGCCTCCATGAGGCATGATCATGCTGCAGTCCCTTTTCCTCCATTTCTTTATCCCGTTGGGTTTTTGGGTATACACACACATACACACGGCATGTTTTTTGAGCGTTTGGACTAGGATTCAGACCACGGTTGGTCATATGAGATCCAGCTTCCTTAACCAAGCCACATTGCTGGCCCAGATTTGCCCATTTTTGAGTTTTTGGGTTTTTTTATTTCCAGAGTGTACCTGTGCTGTGCTGACCAGAGAGAGGGAGGGAAGAAAGCACTCCTTAGTGGGGCATTGTCATGAGACAATCCCTTCTGGGTTTCTCCATACTGTCATATGATTTTGGGCATGCATGTACACATGCATAAGTGTGTTTTAGGCCACATGGGTCTGGCTTTCTTAGTCACCAAGCCAGGGGATCGGCCTTTTTTATTCTTAAAGTTTGTTTATTTTTTCTAAGATAGGTGGACAGACAGATAGGCACTCTCAACAGGATTTTCACACTACAGTCTACCTCCAATTCTGGGCATGTACAGAGAAGGGTGTAAATCCATGACCTTCCTGTGTGTTCCAGCAGCGCAGAACTATGCATTACTTCTGTGCTACCTGCTGGTCTCTCTTTAAGGAAAATATGTAAGATGTATGGTTGTCACTGCACTCATGTAATATACAAATAGTATTGCCTAGAATTACTTAAACCCAGAGACAGTTTATAACTAGATTTACACAGGTAGTAACTAATTGTCACTCAAAAGGCTGTGTCTATAGCCTTTAAGGGAGCCCAGATCCTACTTGGCCAGCTATGATTTGAACCCACTTGAGGCAGTTGCTACCTAGCAGCCTGCCTGCCTAAAGTTCTTTTGGATATTCTTCTTTGGCCCTGGCAGGTTGAAAA